ATATAGTACGATTTATTCTTTTATTCTACCGTTAGATTCCGGCGTCCTAGGAGGACTAGAATTAAAGGTAATTCCTTCTTTTCGCAATAGAGCTTTATTTTATATATAAATTCTTTAGCATTATCAGAAAATGCTTCTCTAATCCTAGTATTTTTAGGGTTATTTTCTACCCTATTTTTAAATTCTAGGAACCTATCTAGAGCTTCTCCCTTTTTTCGAAGAAGGTATATTTCTAGATATCGGGTTCCTACGTCTAGGAAAGAAATATAATAGTGATATTTATTATAAGTAGGCACTTTAATTAGCCCTTAAATATCTAATACTATTTTTTCTAAATAAGAATAAGACTTATACGAAGGTTGTTTATTAACCTTATTCGTTGCTTTAGCTCTAATATATATTTCGCATTACCTTATTTTATTTTCCTCTTCTAGAGGCATTTTTATATCCTTATTATATCTTTTTAATATTTCTAAAATAGCCCTACTATTTATATACCCTAAGCGTAAGTGCTAAGTATAAAAATCTATATCCTTTGCTTTTAAAGACGTAATAAGGATCGATTAGCTTTCTAATAAAGGTTCTATAGGAATATAATATAATTTATTTCTAAGAAATCCTTTAGTAAGGACCTTAGCCTTATTATCTAATAAAAGGACTTTATTTCCTCCTATTAAGGCATAGGTATTATTAAAATAAGATTGGGATAGTATATTTACCCCTAATTCGGGTATATAAAAGCAGTCTCAAGGATATACCTTTTCTACTATACGGGAACTTAAATACTAAGTCCCCTTTCCTTTACTAATATAAAGGAAGCTTTTCCTAGCAAACTTTAGACTTAATTTCTTTATAGTTAATAAGGAAATTCTTATTAGATACTATATGCCTAGTAGCTCCGGTATTATAGATAAAATCAAAGATCCTTTTATTCTTATAACTAGGAAATCCTCCTCTCTTGCCTTTAAGACTAATTCCTTTATTCTAGGAATCGAGGCTTCTAGAGGTCCTAAAGAGAGTCTTTATTAGCTTCTACTATAGGGGTATTTATAGAGGTTAAAATTACCTCTAAATCCTTAGACGTTTGCATAGGGGTCGGAGCCCTAGAAAGGTCTATAAGGTCGATATCTAGGTCTATATTCTCTTGCGAAGCTATATTTAAGACCTTATTACTATCGTCCGAATCGGACTCTAGCTCTATAATTCGAGCCTTCCTTCTTTTATTAGTAGTAGAAACACTACTAAAAGGGGATTTCTTCCTAGAAGAAGAAGATAAAGAAGAAGATTTTCTCTTCTTAGAAATTCGAGTCCTATCGTCCTTCTTTCCTTTATTTAAAACCTAATAAGCAGGAGCCTTATTCGGGTGTAATTTATAGCAATTTACTATAAAATGCCCTGGTTTTTTGCATTCCTTATAATAAGGAGTATCCGTAGAATTTCTACGGGATTTCTAAGGCTTCCTTTATATTAGGAAGGCTTTCTCCGAAGATTTATCTATATCCTCTATTCTTCTAGCTTCGTCTAAAAGACTAGCTGTTAGGGATTCGAGGGTAAACGCCGCAGAATCATGCCTAAGGCTCTGCGTAATATTTGTAATATAGCTTCTAAATTCCTTATTAAGGCAATTAATAATCCATGCTATAAGGATAACTTCTAGAATTTCTATATTACGGGATTTTAAATCCTCGTAGATTTCTTTTACCTTATAAAGGTATTTCTCTAAATTAGAGCCCGAGGGACTAAGATTAAAGAGCTGCTTTATAAGTAAATAATTCGACGAGAAATTCGACGGATTATATAGCTTTATAAGCTCATCCTAAGCAGCTTTAGCATTTGTTAAATGCTTAATTTGCATTAAAGGGCCATCTTCGACTCGAAGAAAAATCTAGGATAAAGCTTCTATAGTCTTTATATGATTTTCTTACTCTAAGGTAGCGATAAGCTTTTCCTTAGTAAGGATAGCTCTCATCCTCGTAGTCTAAAGAGTATAATTTAAATTTCCCTTAAGTCTAGAGAATTTATATTCTTTTTGTCTACCTATTTTATATAAATTCGGTATTATTTCGTTTATAGGGATCGAGAAGTCTAGGCGGGAGTTTAAGAGCGTAGGAAGGTAGAAAAAGTCGTTAGGAGGATTTTCGAAAGGAATTTTGATCGGGTATTTCGACAAGGAATTTCAAAGGTATAAGTTGATTTCCCGGCTTAAAAGGAGTAAGCCGGGCTTATAACCTCTTAAGGTATATGAGCAAAAGCGGAATTTTGGGAAATCAAGGAATCACGTAAAACTACGTGATAGAGGGGAAGAAGGAGTATAAGGTAGGATTTTCAACGGAATTTATTGGTAGTGTATTAGTGTGTGGAAGAGGTGTTGAAGTTTATGATTCTCTATCTATCTACCAGCGGACATGCTGTCTTATATAGACAATTGTAGCTGAACGGAAGAACCTTTCGGGACCAGATTTAGGCTGCCGTATAGCCCTAAGACTAGGGAATTCCGTGATATCTCGAGTGAATCTGGAAGTGTCTTGGTTCCACTGATATTCGTGTTTAGAGGAGGTTGGTCGTGCCGGTGTTCTTAAGAGGTCTTAGCTAGCATTCTAAGCTAGCTCTGTTCCTTCGATTCCCGATTATACGATAACCGGCAACCCGTTTAATGCATAATGACATGCAAAATAACGAGCGATTCTTGCTCTATAGGATGAGATTTTGTCTATAATTAATATACTACTTATTAGCTTATATAATCGGGAGAGTATATTATAGCTGCTTTATTTATAGTAGGAACACCGTTCCTTATAATCTTATAAAGGTATTCTTTATAGTAACTCTTATAGTTACCTAAGGTAGTAGAAAAAGCTCTTTACTATATAGAGGTTAGCTTAGAGAAGAGGGAAGCTCCTTTTATAAATTCCGTTGCCCTAAGATAAAGAGGGGGCTTAAAAGGGTCCTACTTATTAAAGAAGACTAAATTATAAATAGTCCTATTTATATAAACCTATAGCTTCTTTACCTACTTATCTTAATCTTAGGGCTTTATAAGAATCGTCTTATAAACTATAAGGGCGGTAAAGGAATCGTTTTCCGATATTATTATAGAAGAAGGGTAGAAAAGTTAGTTAAAAATTAGCTTTTTTAGTAAGAGGGGTAAAAGGAAGCTATAAGGGATATAAGAAAGGTGCCTTTTATAGTAGCTAGAAGGTATAGGAATTCTATTCCTCCTAGGCTTATAACTCTTATAAAGAGAGATATAAGAAGTATATATAAAATATACGAAGGTAAAATTAAAAGTAAGAGGTCGGATAGGTAGGGTAGAGAGATTTAATTCTTATAGGGGCAGTAATTATAGTAGGGGAGTAATTATTATATTCCCTTAATTATCCTTCTTTTCTTTATTTAACGCCCCTCTTTACACTTATTTAGTATCTTAATTAATAAAGAAGATCTTACTTAAAGAAGCTATTAGTATCCTTTTAACTACTAAGCTTTTTACCGGTTTTTCCCTTTTATTCTAGCCGTTACCGGTATATCCGTCTTATCTCTCGCTACTTTTATAGGAAGCTATTGCTACTTCTACTTCCCCTCTTACCCCTACCCTCCTCTCTATACCTCCTTTTAGCTCCTTATTATAAACCTGTTTTTTAGCTTCCTAGGTACCTTATACTAAGGGATATCTCTAAGAACTATAAAATTAGGCTACGCTTCGCGATACTAATAGTTAGGTTATAATAATATATCTTATTAAAGCGATTAAGGTAGCGATAAGTATAGGTTAGCTAGCCTTTTAATTCCCTTAGACTAATTAGCTTAAGATTATCTAGATTCGTCTCCCTTATTATCTTAGTTATTACCTTACTATAAAAGCCTTTTTAGTCCTCGAAATATTTAAGTAGGTTTTATTCCGACTAGGACTTCCTATAGTCGCTTATAACTATTACTTTTACCTTAACCTTATATCTATATCGTTTAAAAATATAGAGGCTTAAGTATCTTATTAACCTCGCTAAGAACGCGCTTATCCTTATTAGATAAGAGATTATTAGTAGGGATTTATTTTGCCTTATCTTACTTACCCTTAAGTATAAAGATAAAAGCCCTAATATTAGTTTACTTCTATAGAGCCCTCTTAATTATTATATAAGTAGAGTTCTACCGCGTCTTATTATCTAGCACGACCTTAAGCTCGGCGGTTAATTCCTTAGAAAGATAGTACCCTCGTACTCCTCGTAAGCGATTTTAGATTGTAGCCTCCTCGAGTTGCTTGGCCACGGTCGTTGCTTGCGATAGTCGCGAGAACGCAGAAGGAAAGAGTAGAGCGGGGTATGGTGTTAAAACTTCTAGCGAAAGCCTCGACGAACTAGACGGTGTATGCAAGTGCGATATCTCGTCGATGTTATGTCGTGTTAATGGCGAAGTTAACGCGCGCGACGAAGGCGCGTAAAGGATGCTAAGTGCCTAAAAAAAGGCTGCTTCCGTTTAGGAGCTTAATTAGAATTGCTATAAAAATTCTCTATCTACTTCGTACCTATAATAGACCATAGGCAGGCGCGAGGAAATCAAGCTCCTAAACGGAAGCAGCCTTTTTTTAGGCACTTAGCATCCTTTACGGAGTACAGTCCAAGACAGCCTGCTTACAGCCGGTCTAAGCAAAGACCATTGAATCCAGAGAAGATAACAACCCGCACTCTTCGTCCGCCAGCGTTTCCAAGTACTGTCGAATCCAGCCAAGGACAAAGAGATCGCCGAGCAGGAAGAGGGCGAGCCACCAAGGAGCCACTCGTGGTCGATGCAAGGCAGATGCCTTTACCAGATCTTCTAGGACTCAAAAAGGGGGGCCCGGGTGCATATTGATCGAGAGTTGGGCGTCTTAATTCACACAGTTCAGTCATCAAAGATAGATCCAGCCGCTTCGTCGCGATGAATTCTTCCTCCTCATTTTATATTCACCCGACCATTCTCTACCCCGACTATTTTCTTCACCCATTTGCCTCCAAGTGCCTATTTCATGCCAAAAGGGATCGCTTACCCGTATCAGACTTCCCCCGCCAGTCATTGAATTGTTCCTCGTAGCACTGTTTCGTCAATTCGGGCAGCTTGGCTTTCCAGCCGTCTTTTGCATCCGCGCCTCCGTTCTTCTTTTCCTCGCCTACTTTGGTCTGGGCGCACTCCGCAGCCTTTTCTTTGTCTAATGCGTTTACCAGAAAGAGGTCCCACTGTTCGCGGGCAGGCTTTGACAGTTTGCTCGAAGGTTCTGTGTTCGGGGGGCTCACCTGCTCCGCCGGTGGTGTCTCGCTAGGTTGTTGAGACTTGCCGTCGTCTCCGTCGCCAAAGATGAGACTTTCGACCTGCTTCTCACCAGGGATATAATTTTGCACTGCCCTGTGTAGTGTGTCGGCAACTATCTTGGCGGGTGCTATAATGCCCTCCTTCAAAACTTCCCAAAAGCTTTCTTGCTTGTTCAGGACTTTTTCATATAGAGTTTTTGCTTCCTTTTCCACACTATCTTCGGCCTCCTGATAGCCGGGAACCCAATCCCGCATCACGTCGTTGAGGGTATTTAGGGTCCCTTTTGTGACCAACAGTGCGATTCTTTCACCTTTTTGGAGTGCGGTTTCGTTGCCTTTGAAGCTTTTGTATTCCGCGAGCTCCTTTTGGTAGTTGTTCATGACCTCGGGAACGCCGGGGAAATAGTTTTCAAATATCGTTAGCTCCACTTGTGCCTGGTATTCGAGAATCGCACTCGACACTTTAAGCGCCTTATCGGTAGCTGAATCATTATCCGGGATCGACTCCAACTTGCTAGTTAGCTCTGCCATGTGTTCTTCGATTTCTGTCAAGCCGGGTATCGTGTCGTTTGCAATACCGGCCAGCACCGTTCCGGCCTTCTTGAGTTCTGACGACAGTGTTTCATGGCTGTTATCTGACGGGGCTGCCTTTATACGAGCGGCAGCAGAATCCACCACATTGGTTATGATCTTCAGGATTTGAAGCCAGCCGAGACCCTTGACCAGCTTGGGTTGTAGTACTTCCACTGGCGTCCCTGGAATCTCTTCTGGAACCTTGACGGGCTCCGCAATCGGCTTGCCGAGCTCTTTTTCGCTAGGCTTTTTGATGCCGGGCTTTTCCTCGCCGGGCTTCTCCTCGCCGGGCATTTCCTCGCCGGGCATTTCCTCGCCGGGCTTCTCCTCGCCGGGCTTTTCACCGGGCTGACACTCCCCGTCCCTCTTGGAGTGTCCTGACGAGCACGGTTTGAAAGTCCCTTGCGGGCCTGGCTCTGGGATGTCGTTCTCCCCTTTCGAGATAGATTTATCGGGGATACTGTCTTCCACGGCCTTCCGAAATGCAGCTGTCACATCGGGTAGTTCGCCTTTGTTTTCATCCAAGAGACGCTTCCAAGGCTGAGCCTTCCAAGCCGGATGGTTTTCAGGAAATCCGGCCAAATCCGGCCTGGAACTGCTCCCGGGGTCGGGTCCTGGCACGTACTTCTGGTTGGGTATCCACTTGATTTTCTTGACTTTGTCCTCCGTCTTTCCGTTTCCTCGAAGAATTTTTAGTACATCGTCAGTTGCCTCGACATGAGCTTTAATTTGTCTTAAGGGGATTTCCTGCATCGCTGCCTGTTCAGCGTTGGTGACATAATCTTGGATACGAAGTGATTTATTGACGTCAACAAAATTCTTAGACGTTTCGATCTGAAAAATATAGGACTTCTTTTCGGTGTTTCCTGGCGCTTTCTTGGCGTTGTTAGCGTACTCGGCGAGGCGTTCGCTAAGCTTCTCGGTCGTCGAAATATAGGCCGTGTTCTTGATGTTTCCTTCGACGTGAGACCATAGACTATACTTCTCAGGAGTTTCAGGGCCCGGTTTCGGCTTAAATCCTTTATCTTCGAAAACTTTGTCGAAGGATCTTGAATCTGCGCGAAAGACTTCTGTTACGGATGGTCCGTCAAAGAATTTCTCATCTTGTGGGTTCTGGGCTTGGATAAGCCTCTCACGATCAGGGTCGGCTCGTCTGACTCCAGCCAAGGTTTGGACTAAGGCCCGACTTTCTGTAAGTCCAAGTAGTAGAAAGAGAAATAGAAATAGCGAAAGACCCTTCATTGTGGAAGAATTCATGATAGGCGGGCGAGCTTGAATCGTCTTGGTGGTATGAACGAATGTGGGAGTATTCAGTCGGGATGCTTCCAACGACTGGTTGGGATTCTGTTGAGGGTTCTTTGTACAATCGTTCCGGGTACGCCATATTTATATCGGAAGAGGATGCATCGGCATCTGTTGTCCAAGAGCGACAATACCACACCCACGGCATCCGAGCATAAGCAAGTCTCTGTCTCTTGGGCGGGAGACCGTTGACAGCTGCATTGTAGTCGATAATCCTCTCATCCTAGACAGCTGTGGCTCATGACTCCTGTACCCAAATCATGCACTGACACGAGCCAGCACTTCGGCCTCGCCCGCACTCCCACGGGGCCTCCCCCCGTGGCCCCCACACGTACATATTTCAGTGCCCTCAAAACCGGAGGTCAGCCTCGAATACGACGACTCTCGATTGCGTCACTGCATTTGTCGTGCACGCACACACGTTGCATTAGACTCGTGTGCAGGGAAGATGGCATATACCCAACCCAACGGCTGGTAATTGGACCTTAGACACCTGACTATAGCACACATGCATGATGTACGAGCCGTCGATTTCGCCGCCTGATCTAGATGATACTGTTATGCGTGGTGAAGAATGCGACGGATATCGCCTTATATAGCACTGGCTGGGACTAGGGCTATCAATCATAAGCGTATATCGTTTCCGGACAAATAATCCCTATCACAACACCGTATTAGGAATTCAGATGTGGGATTCCACTTTCTCTTCGACTGGGGTGGCTTATGTTACCGAAGTAAATGCAGTGAAGAGTCGACCTAAATACCACAGCTCCCACAAGCAAACATCGTCATGCACTTAGAACAGGCGTGTTTTTATCTACTCAGAGTACAATATTCTTATCTCTGTCTAAATGAAGTCAGTTTCGACTGCCCTGTCCCACACGACCTTGCTCTAGGCCGACTCAGGACTGCATTACCGATCTCTCATCATACCACACTCTTCTATCTCTCGCGTACCAAACCCTGCACTACCTCCTCAGGGATTTGCTCCCTTCTAATAAGTCTCTACATGCAGACTGGGGGCATGACGCTTGACTCTGGCTGGCAAGCCTGACACAACAAGCGCCATTGTTGGCGGTGCTTATTCAACAGTGGAATTAGCACCGGGAGGGCAATTCGCTGGCGAGACCCAACACATAAAATCAGCTCACTTAGGCTACTCGGAGTCATTTGCTTGAAAGGGTCATTTATCTTTTGACAAAGATGCCAGTCTTGTGGGATAAATGCCAAAGCATGAACACTCGAGTGATAAGTCCACAGCTTTCTGCTATACCGACCTGCCGGTTTTTGAATCATGTGGGACTAAATGGCAACCACGAGGGCTTGAAGCTGCTTCCAATGACGGCGAGGGACGACGAGCAGTCGGCAGCCAAGATCTACTGCAGACACCCACGGGGTCAGCATGGCCCGAGTCCAGCGACAGTCGCCCCCCGTCCAGGGAGCTCGCGTGCTAGTTGACTTGCACGGGGTAGAAGCACATGCCAAGGGCGAGCAGGGATGGATAACCATAAAATGCGGAGCCCTCGAATCTGACTACGTTTCGCTGTGCCACAATAAAATGCGGCCACTTGAATCAACCTGACAGATAAAGTTACGTTTGGCATAAACAAGAAACAGGACCCGTCTGAAATAGGGCCTTGGTCGAGTCAGGGACAAGATAAATACGACGTCTTGGTGCCTTGGACATGCCTACCTCAACACGGCGGAAGCAGCATCCCACAAAGACTACTTGTTCAACAACCGAAGCACCTATCATCATGGACCAGACATTCCCGATCCGAGCCATGGCATCGCATTGGAAACACGCGCCCATCAAAAAACCCGCCAAAGCACCGTGGGACGCCGAAATCTCGGGCACCGACTTGGCCAGTCTTCTCCTCGGCTCCGTCCCATCCCAAATGGAAGACAAATGGTTCTGCTTCGCCGACGACGCTGACTCCCACGGAAATATCCTCGTCCATCTCGTCCGCAGCTGGTCCGGCGCCGAGATAATCGTCCTCCGCGTCCGCGCCGCGCTTGACGGTACAGGGCTTGTCAACGAGCGCGCCCCCGCCAAGGTGACGGAAATCACATGGGAGGACGATAGCCGTGAAGAGGATCGCGGCGAGGCCTGGGCCAAGCAGAGGGCCGAGATGGTATGCCGGGGCATCTTGCAATGCGAACTGGCGGCTCCCAAGTCAAGGGCGTGTCAGCTGAAGGGAAGCTAGTATGCGGGAGAAACGGGGAAAATCGATGTGTCAAAAGGCACCTCTTCGAAGCTTATAACCATGAGAGGATTCAAATCAATATTGAAACATCAGTCTCCACTCCCCACTCCCTGGTCCACCGTATCGACAGGGCCAACCCGAGTACCACTAACGACTCCGCATAACATGGGATCATTGTGAAACTGGACTCTCGGCCCTGCGCTAGACGAACAGCGGTGAAACTCTCTTTAGATGCGTTTTAGCCAGGCTTAGGTGACGAGATATACAGCGGCCTCGCTACCTGGAGCTACCGGGCCTATAGTAGAAAACTACCTGTTGATCCGGTTGCTGATCTGGCGAGCTGACGAGTCCATCGTGTACAGCCAGTAGCGATTAGCGACCTATATGAGCCTCGGTAGCTCTGACCTGCTTAATCTCCTAGATCGGGGCTTGAGTCGATGCTATTGCGCCATGCTTGACGCAGCAAGTGATCTAGGGTGACCTTACCGCATTCAATGAGATGATGCGGGCTGTACAGATAGTCGCTTATCTGGTATCGTTGCGGTGCGTAGTGCGAGTCGTAGCGAATGAGTGACAAAAGTGGGATGGCAAGAGACGCATGACAATCTCGGCTGCCCTACCACCCATCTTCCAGGACCAGTTGGCATTTGGCGACGTCGTTGCCCAGTTCGAACATCGAACGAAAGAGGTGGAATTTGTAAAGGCGAGTCCGAGGCCACGCCATCCATGGCATGGGCAGTGCCTAGTAACTGGACACTACCAGCCTTTTATAGAGCCTGGACAAGCAAAGAGCAGAGGAAGTTGCGCTAAGGCTTTCGCGACCAGAGGAGAATACATCGATCGTCTCGACCATATCAACCTTGCAGTACGCGTCGAGTTCGTTACTAATGCAGAAAATCATATATTGCGTAAGCGGTCCGGTTAGACCGACTCTCCGCCTGTCGGACTAAACTAGACTTCTCGCTTTCTTAAGCGCCACAGCTACTTTAAAAAAGCGCTAAAGGGGGCTTTATATAGAGCGCTAAGCTTCTAAGGATCTTATATAGGAAAGCTAGTACTTTTAATGTCTTCGGCAGGTTATCTAAGAGCATATTATACCTAATATTTAGAATATAGACGAGATAGGATTTCGTATTAGAGTTAGCAAAGACTAACTAATCGTAACTAAATAAGTAAGAGCTTATTATTTTAGCGTTCCTAAGAATTAAGAGTCGGCTACCGCGATTAAGGCTATCTCTATAAATAAAGATATTATTCTAGCTTTCTTAATACTCTTTAGCTAGATATATATAGTAATAGTATAGTATACTTAAGCTCGATCTTAATATAGTTATCTAACCTATACTTACTAGTTACTTAAATAATATAATTAGTTTAAAGTAGCTTTAGTATTTTAATAATTACTTAGTAAAGAGCTTAAGAAGCTTATAGCGTTTACTTATTCTTAATAGTTATAGCTCTTATTATATAAGATAGTTTATTTAATATTATAATAACTATAATATTTATAAGAGTCTTTAACTATTATAAGTTATAGGCTTAAGCTATAGCCTAAGCTATATTGTTATATATAGAGGGCTGGATCCTATATATATATATATATAAGCTAGCTATATATAAAAGAGCTCTATATAGCTTATTAATATTATCCTATAAACGGCACCTATATATACGCCTTTACTTACTCCGTAATAGTATAAGCTATTAACTAATAGATTTAATAGATATCTCTTTAAAGAGGGTGCTACTTCCTTAAAGGAGTACTCTGCCCCTCTTTAGATAGATAGGAAGTATTATAGCTATCTTAAAAGCGATTAAAAGCGCGACGGCTAGCGAGAAAGATAAGGTTCTCGCTATACTAAGGGAGCCGTCTATAAGACTAGCTTTAACCCCTATAACCTTTATAACGCTAGTTACGGCGGCGATACTACCGATATAAAAGCCGCTCCCTTAGCTAACTTAAGATAGTAAGCTAGAGTCCTTTTACTTTATCCTTAGCTAGCTATAGATAAAGTTTATAACTAATAGAAAATAGGGCTTAAATAGCTATTATAATATAGTATAGTTTTCGCTCCTTTATATACTATTAAAGCCTTAGATATAGCGGATCTTTAGATTCTAAGATAAGGGCAGCCCTAAGAGTAAACGCAACCTATAGGACTTCTTTTAATACCTTATATATATATTCGGTAATATATAAGAGTAGGATAAGGTATAATATAGGCTATAGACCCTTAAGTAAAGAGATAGATAAACTTTTAGCGAATTCCTCCTTAATTTTAAAGAGACGCTTTTATAGGTAGTAAGGACTATAGTATAAGAAGATAGCGCGAAGCTTATATTCTTATAAAGAGAGACGCGAGAAGTATATATAAAATACGCGAAGGTAAAATTAAAAGTAAGGGGTCGGATAGGCAGGGCAGAGAGATTTAATTCTTATAGGGGCAGTAATAATAGTAGGGGAGTAATTATTATATTGCTTTAATTATCCTTCTTTCTTCTATCTAACGCCCCTCTTTATACCCGTCTAGTATCTTAATTAATAAAGAAGATCCTACTTAAAGAAGCTACTAATATCCTTTTAACTACCGAGCTTTTTGCTGGTTTTTCCCCTCCTTTCTAGCCGTTGCCGGCATAACCGTCTTATCTCTCGCTACCTCTATAGGAAGCTATCGCTACTTTTGCTTCCCCTCTTACCCCTACCCTCCTCTCTATACCTCTTTTTAGCTCCTTCCTTAAAACCTGTTTTTTAGCTTCCTAGGTCCCTCTTACTAAGGGATATCTCCGAGAACTACGAAATTAGGCCACGCTTCGCGATATACCCCCTTAGCTATAGCCTGCCCTTATAGTAAGGGCATAGCTAATACGGCTTTAAGCTAGTAAGTATATAGAGGAGGTTCTTAGCTCTATACTTCTCCCTTTACTCGAGGAAAGTAGGGGACCTTTTAGGTCCCTAGGCTCTTTTAGACCTACTTAAGGAAAAGGGGCCTAAAGAGGGGAAAGTCCTATAAGAAAGGGGGCCTTCTTTAAAGGGAAAAACCTAATTAAAATAGGGGGCCCTTTAAAGGGAAAAACCTCTTCCTTTTCTTCGGCTATAGACGTTACCTTCTTATATAGGCTATTAGCTCCTCTAGTAGACTCTTAAGGCGGGCCTCTAAGGATAGCTTTTCTCGAACGTCTTCTAGCCTAATTTACTATAAAAAGACAGCTAGCTTCTACTTTAGTAAGGGCTTTATAAGACCGTTAGCTTTTATTAATGCCGTTAAAACTTAATAGATAGAAATAAGTCCCCTTTAGACCTCTTAGCGTAACTAATACTAGTAGATATCGATATACCGTAGCTAGGTCGATAGCTTACTATTTTCCTTTATAAGAATTCGTATAGTCTATATATTATTATATTCTATAACTAACGGGGTCGGAATTTATAGTCGTAATAATATTAATAGCCGGCTAAGGAAAATCGCTTCTTTTAACGCTTCTAAAAGAGCTAGTAGCTCTACCTCCGTACTAGAAGTCGTAATAATAGCTTACTTCGAAGCTCTCTAAGCAATAGTTCCTCTAAAAAGGGATATAATATACCCCTATAAGCTCTTTCTATCTAAGGAATTATCTATAAAGGACGAATCGCTTAAATAGAGGAAGATTTTAGTAGCTTATTTCCTTCCCTGCCCTCCTAGGCGTAGACTATATAATCTCGATAAATAGAGACAAAGGATAGCTCTATCTACTACTTCTTAATACCTAGGGCTAGGATTCTAGTTATGCCTAGCTAGCTAAGAGACTATAAAAGAGATATCCGGTCTAGTAGAAATAGCTAAAAAAAGCAAGGAGCCTACCTTCTATTAATATTAGTATTTCTCTTACTCCCTATTTCGAAGATTTTTCGAAGTTGTTACCCGACTTATAGAGAAGCCGGGCTCATAACCTATAAGAAGGTATGAGCAATAAGCGCAGAATCGGGTAATCGATGACGTAAGCGGAAAGATCGGTCGAAGGAGTATAGGGTAGGATTTCGTCTGGAATTTATAACGAGCATATAAGGGGCTGAATAATATATTGAAAGAATAGCGTTGCAAAAGATGCTTATGTCCTTGCTCTGTTTTTCAACTACTCCCAGGGAAATCCTTCGTCTTTTATAGACCATTGCTCGCCCACTAGTAGACCAATTAGTCAGCTTTCTAGCACATTCTATAGTGCTTAAAAAGCTCTATCTATAGTATATCTTCCTAACTTAGTAGGTGGTCTGATTGTGGCGTGATGGTTAACGTAAGACTATAGGTTCTGGCATAAGTAGTGGATTTAACCAGAATGTTCTATGCCCCACCTATTCTCGTATCGCGGATATCTTCGGAACCGCTAGGCCAAAATAGGCAATAGGGTATCCGTTCTGCTCGTAATTGACCTATGCATTTTATGCATATTTTTGTTTGTAAGGATAGGCTTATCCTGACCCGCTTTTCCTAGAGGAAGGTATAGTTATCTAGTAGAGGTCTTTATCTTTAAGGGTTATTCCCTTAGACTGTATTATAGAGCCCCTTTTTACTAGCTTATTCTATAAAGCCTCCCTATGCCTGTTATTTCTTTATAACAGTAAAATAGGAATATAAGGGTATATTCTTATACTATATCTATCTATTTAAGCTCGAGGTCGAATTCTACTGCTATAGCTATAAGGGTCCGAAAAGATATCCCTACTAGGGTGGTTGCCTTAGTAGGTAGATCCCCTTTTTCCTATTAATTCCTATAGATAACTAGCCGGGCCTTATACTTTTAAAGGAAGCCGTGTTTATTAGTCTTATAGGTAAAGACCTACTTATAGCTAAGGACCTGTTTTCCTCTTACTTTATCTTTAAGGACCTCTTCGAAAGACCCTATCTCTTCGTATAAAGCTAGGTAGTCTTTCTAGGCCTAGAAAAACTAGTCTTTAAAGGGGTGTTTTTCTAGCTACTTCTAGTTTGCTAGTAGGTCCGGGAGGTCCTTTTTATATACCTTCCTTG